TATTTTTCTCGATCAATTGTTTTGCAGTAACATTCTTACTTTGATTTTATTTATGTTAACGGATGATCTAATTTGTTCACCACAATTAAATATTTTATTTTCTATAGGTTTATAAAAAATTAAATCAGAAACCCGCATATATGCGGGTCCTTCATCTAGTATATGAATAATTTTATTAGTTTAGAAACTGATATTTCCTTTTTCTTTAATTATCATTTAAAAAATATATTTTTAACCTTAATTTTTCAGAAATAAATAAATATACTTAGTATCTACTGTATGAAAACTCAATGGCTCTCTCTATGAGACGCCAAGTCAACTCACAATATTAGAACACGTGGCTTAACAAAACAAAACAAAAACTCTCAGCTTCTGAAAACGGAACGTACTCTCACGATTGCACTTTCTTTTTCTTGTAACTTCTTCCAAAACAAAATCAATGGTGATTACAATATAACTATTTCAAAGCTCTCCTTTTCATGGACTCTGGACACCATGGCTACGATCCTTCGTAGATCTGCAAGCGAACCTCATCCGAACAGTCATCAAATCCCTTCAAAACCACCCAAACCAGACTCGGCACCAATACGATATACACAATGATTTTGATCTCTATGGATTGAGTGGTCAAGCTCCTTGCTATGGATATTCAATTGCTCATTAGGCTAAGCTTCAATGTGGCCAGCAGTTCCATGGAGGTATTTTCAATTACATGTTCGTGGATATTGAACGATTGAATATGTTCACTGAATATAATATAAATTCTTCTTTATTTTTTGGAAAGAAAAGTATTTCCTCCATATTTCGCGATCTACCTTTGGTTTCATTCGATTGGAGAATCATGGACCTGCTCAATTTTGTACATTTCTCAAAAAGAAAATTTTTAGATCGTGGAACTTTCATTTTTGTCGATTTCTCCGGTGGCCAGGTAATGGAGAAACTGGTTACCAAATTCGAAAGACATATGTATATTTTTTAAATTACGATCTTGATGTAAAAAGAGAAACACTTTTGTTACTAATACATTCATTTCAAATTTGATGCAACTAATCTTCGTTGTGACTGACTCTTGACTTTTTTTTATATTGTAGATTGTAACGTATCTTCTCATATCAGCTGCATCTTCTCCAATTCTAGTGGCCAACAGATTCAGAGAAGTTTAAGATAACATATTCACTGATTCAATTGCTTTAGCTATTTGCATGGCTATCTTCCCCTTTGCGTCATTAG